AACGTAAACGTAAACGTAAAACGGGGTAACGGGTACGGTAACGTACTATACCGTCCTTTTACCGTTTACTTACTCGTATCTCTTCTCTCTGAACTACTACTCTCTCTCTCTCTCTCTCTCTCTCTCTCTCTCTCTCTCTCGTCGAATGCCAATCGCCCACAATCTGTCTCTCTCTTGGCCACATGCACTCTCTCACTATTTCTAAGCCACGTGCCCATGTACTCTCTCTCACTATTTCTGGGCCATGTGCCCCATGCACTGTCTCGTTCACTCTCTCTTGGTTATGTGCCCCATTCTCTATGTGTGTGTTTCTTTTTCTTCTTTTTTATTCTTTTTTTTTTGTTGGGGGGGGGGGGGTGGTTTGTGCGTGTAACGTGGCCAAGCTGAGTAACTTAGCCCTTACCCAAGCTGCGTAACTTGGCGGGGGGGGTTGTGCATGTCTTTGTGCATTGGGGTGGTTTTGAGGGTTTTTTTGCTCAAGCGTGACTTGGTGAGTCCATTCAGACCCACCCAAGTTACTCAGCTTGGGCAAGGGCTAAGTCCGGAGCCCTAGCCAAGTAATTTAACATTGGTAGATTAGAGTTTTTGGAAACACATGAGATTCCAAATCATCTTAAGAATCAGAATTGCACAATTACAATTGGCTAGAAGATTCTTGTTTTTGGAATCGACGTCTGTGCGAGGGGCAGTGCAAGAAGGGATTCCTATTTTATAGGAATTGAATTTTGACCCAAATGGAGTCAAGATCCCTATATACATAGAATCGAGATTCCAACCACTTTAGAATCGAGTTTCTAACCTATTTGGAATCGATCCATATGGAAATGAGATTTCTTCATATATGGAATTGAGATTCCTGGAAACGAGTTTCTAACCTGTTAGGAGGTACGAGTTAGTTTGTGTGGAAGGCTCAAAAGGGGCAAGGCAAAAGGACGTGGTTGGCAATAATGAGAAAAGATATAGGGACTTATAATCTCATTGAGGGTATGGCTTTTAATAGAGTAGAATGGCACACCGAAATTCATGTAGCCAGCCCCAATTAGTTGGGAAAAGGCTTTAACAATGATGATGATATCGGATTCACTAATGTAGGAATATAAGCCCAATGGCGACATACTATTCAAGTGGCCATGTTGTGAGCCACTATTTATGTACATACTTTTCTATATACACATACTTTTCTATAAATCACTATGAGATGAAATTTGGGATGTCCTCCTTTACTGCACCAAATAAAAGGAATAGTAAAATATCCTAATAATAAAAAAAGACTAAGATAGCCCTTATAAGTTTTAAGGTATTTGGGTTATTTTTATTATAAAAATATTTTTTATTATTTTTAGTAGGTAGTCCTAGCACGAAGGGTGGCCTAAAAAGGGTGAGGACCTTAAATTTTCCCTTAACTCGTCCCAAGCCAAGGTAAAGAAGGTGGGTTGTGTTAGATAGGCAGCCAACGTAAAACTTTGTTAAAACTTTTCCATGAATCCTGAGCTAAAAAAAAGCAAGGGGTAGGCCCAAAAGGACATGGTCGGAAGTTGTTAGAAAAAATATGGGGACTTATGGCCTCATTGAAGATAAGGCCCTTAATAGAAGAGAATGGCGGACCAGGTTTCGTGTAGCCCGCCCCAATTAATTGGGAAAAGGCTCTGATGATAATGATAGAATCGCGAGTCCGACATCTTTGGAATCGAGTTTTTATGTATTCGGAACCAACATTCATACCAATTTGCAATCGAGATTCAAATCAGTATGGACTTGAGTTTCAACCCACATGGTAATAGAGATTTGTCACTCTATGGAGTTGAGTTTCAACCCCTTTATAATCAAGATTCCTACATCAACAACATCATGTCCCTTAACAACTTAGAACCTCATCAAACAATCAAGATCGGAGGTCTCTAATACCTGAAGAAGGGTTCCAAAGATATGAAGTCAATGTATTGAATTATTGACTATTAAACCTCAGACACAATATCAGAAGTAAGGTTTAATCCACCAGGGAAATTGTCTACAAAAGATACAAATATTATCTCGTATTTTTTAAATGTGAGTTTGATTTCATTATTATAGTTCAAAATAGGACTTTGTCTGTGCCATGGTGTTGTCTGTGTTGTAGTCTGTAAAACTCTTTACCGCTTATATTTTAGAAAACACAACCAATCTTAGCACAATTAGAAACATGATCCGAGCCAGTCCTGGCACATTTTAGAAATGCGATCCAAGTCATTCCTATAACCATTAGTATTCTCATTGACAATCTAATGCTAGTTATACCTGCCTTTGTTACATGCAAAAGACATAAGAATTATATAATGTTAAGTACTTGTTAACTCTTAACATTTGCATTTGAAAATTGGTTCGTGTTATAAATACTTCAGCACTGTGCTCATCGGATCATTATTTGCAGCACCTATACACCAGGAAAAACAATGTTCTCAAATCGGGTTACCAAATAACTGAAAGTAGAATCCATAAATATTTGAGGTGAGATTCCACATCAAAGAGTCATAGTTTTGTGCACTTATTAACATCACTACTTGATTTTATGGAATCAGGGATTCCACGAATATTCGGATAGAAATTATGTGAAGATGGAAGCAAGATTCCATGTTGATTGAGTCACAGTTTCCTACACCTACAAACCAAGGGTACTTGATGTTGTGGATTCTGAATTCAAAAAAGCAATCAAATCAAGATGCATTATATTTGGAATCAGGAATCAAGATTCAATAAATATAGGAATCGAGATTTGAAAAGTTGGAATTGAGATTCTATGAATGTTGGGATCAAGATTCTTAAAAAGTTAGAATCAAGATTCTTAAAATAAGGAATCAAGATTCTTGACTTCAAGGAAACAAGTTCCGTGAAGATTCCTTGTCGGAATCACCGAATCGAGATTCCGAAGAAAAATTTTGACTTGGGTAGATGGATTCTAGTAACTATGGTACAGATTATAGACCTTTGTTTCCTTCTTCTTCTTATTTAATGACCATGGACCTCTGTTTATATTGGTTCTGAATTTGACAACCAAGCACATATAGAAAAACAACAATAGCAAATGCATAAACACAAATTTTTGTGGTAAAGGCATAAACACAATGTTTTTGGATAAAGGCATAAATACAATCAAAGATGCATACCATCAGCATAGCAAAGAGAACATTCTGAAGTGAACGATTCTTGGCATCATTTCTATGTTTACAATTCATGCGCCGAATACTGTGGACAACATGAGAAAAGGTCATCTTCCTTAAAATCCTGTCTCCAAGAGTTTGAAGTGCCATAAACAGTGTAAGTGTTTCTTCAATATCCACCATCTAGTCAACAATCAAAGATCGAAGATGCAGTTAAGAGACCCATTATAGACCATGAAATTGTAAAAGCAAGCATGCCCCAAGTGCAATGTCTTCCTAAAGAGAAACAACACTCTAATGAAGATCTCAGACTCGGATTGTATGTTTGAAAGAGCAGTAAAGAAGAAAATTTTCCAAAACCAGCTTGCAAGTGATCGTTTAAATGATAGCAAAGCCTACTCCCTTTATTGTATAATTGTACAATTTGCATGTACAAATCATCTTTGATTTTAAAAATGAAAGGTTTCAAATTTTACATGGTTCATTGTTTTTCTTCATATCTTCAACATCTTAGCAGATCAAATGTTGAATGCATGAGTATCAAACAAGTTAATAGAGCAACAAAAAACTATAAGAGCATAACCATGAGGAGAAAGATACGAATTTCTCAGACAAAAAGGATGCAGGGTCCTAGAGGTGAAAAGGATTAAAAGAATGCGTGGAAGTAACCGTAAGTGTTGCAAAAGTACAATGTCAAGTTACTCAGCAAAGAGTAAATGTGCTAAATTTGAAGTGATCGAAGTTTCTTTTTCTTTTTTTTGAATGAAATTAGGTAAAATAATTGAAGAAGAAGATGCCCTTGAAGAGGAAATAAACAACACATGAGAATCTGACAGAATTTGGAAGGCAGAACTACCAAAAAAATCATGCTTTTCAATATCATTTAGTAGACACTTCATAACATGCCATTCAATAACATTTTCGGCAAGCAAACCATCATAATGGGTTGTCCTTATTTGAACTGGTATGATCACTGGTTCGGTTCTGGCAGCAGCAGTCGTCTTCTTCAACTGCTTGTTAAGTTTTTGGGGATTGGTTACCCATAAAGTTACCATAGATAGAAATTCTATGATTCCCACCATCTGCAAGTGATATCTACTTGAAACAAAATACAGTGTTTCCTCTATAAATGCCAGAAAGATTCATTATAACAACAGGGTTCTTCTGTATATGTCATGCGTATTCATCCAATTTTAGTGAATAAATCTGACTAATTTGATTTGAGCACAAATTGTGTTAGTATATTAAAAACTTTGAACTTTTCTCCAAATGAACCCAATTGAAAACACAAAACAATATCCATGCAATTTATACAAACTCTAGCATAGCCATGGTACTACAAGCAATTCCCACTTAAACTCACCCCAAACCTGCTATTAAAAATGGAATCATAAGAATTCAGTTCAACCCTGTCTCTGTGAGTGAAAGATCGACAGATTACAATTATTTAACCAGCTTTAAGCACTAGTTCAACATTTTAATAGCCAATAATTCCTCCTATAGTTTATTCATTTATACACAAGAGCAACCAACCAACAGTACCTGGACAAAGTACAAGTCTAGACGATTAGTTTCAAGAACACAAGAGCAACTGCACCCATTTTCTAGATTGTTTCCAAAAAGGAATGAACATCAATGCATGGTTCTAAGTTTTTGTTTTGTCAGAAGAGTTCCACTTGTATGATCTTCAGCTGAATTTCACTATTGTTCTCTTTCCTTCATGGCTAAATCTATACCAAATCCCAGCGCTATGCCGATTGCTAGTATTTTCTTTTTAAATAGTTAATTACACTTATTTAGCAAAGAAAATAACAATACTAGTAGCAATAATAGCAAAATAAAACCATAAATATTCTAAATTGAGATAATAACACAGCCATACGAGATTGAGAAATTGTAGTCACATTATGCTAACTGTTCACAAGCAGGAGACCTAGTACTCAAACAGAGAAGAGAAGAGAGAGACAAAGAGAGAGATACCTGTCGATTGACTAACAAAATTAGAGCTTGAGTAATCTGGCACCTCAAGCTTGAAGGCAAAGTACGAGCCCCAGTCCTCAACAGCTCAATTAAATTAGCAGGAAAGCTACCGAGCTTTTCAGGATAAGAGGGCATGACATGAGAGAGAAACATGGCGAGATCACCAAGGTCCTTCGTGATGGTCGGGTCTGGTTCCATGAAAGCTGATTTCATGGCGGCCTGTTGTTCAAAGACAAAGAGAGCAGAGGAGAACTGTTTGTGAAGGAGGTCCAGCTCTGTTGTGTAACTCTCTGGATCAACCTTCATTTTCGATTGCAGAGAAGGGAGGCTAAGCTTCTCTGAGCTTCGGCCTGAGGCCATAAGGCTGTCTGGTGTGGGCATCGTGGTGGATGGGAGCACCATGTCTCTCTAAGTCGCCGTTCCTCGCTAGAGAGAAAGAGAGAATATGAGACTGTTTAAAAGAGAGAGGGGATACAGGGTTTAGAGAGCGAGAGAGAAGCAGTCGGCTTGGTCTGGGCGCGCGCTCTCCTATTGGGAGAGGGAGCGTAAGAGGGAGAGAAGCGGTTTAGGGCTATTTCGATTTTAACGTAAGGGTGAGGTGCGTATAACTGTAGCCTTGGCACGGACCCTGACCCGAAGCCGGACCGAGGGCTAGACGACCTATGGATCCACAAGTTGGACTTGGCGGGTTGGCTCCGGATTCCATCGGGTCCGGATCTAGTAATACTTTTCATGTCTTGTGTGATATAATTAAATACATGTATATTTTTAATTTTGGAAAAAGTTTATATGGAGCTTAAGCTCTAAACAACCAATTTGAGCCTACCTCAAAAAATTCAGTAGGAGCGTGTTTGATAGCATGAAGCAAGAACATGAAATGGAAATTGGAAGTTACTAAAGAACTCTAAATAAATTAGAAGTTACTTAATAAATTAGAAGTTACTTAAGAAGTTAATGGTTTATGTGTTTGATAACCTATCTGAGAAGTTAAGAAGTTCATAGTTTATGTGTTTGATAACTCCTGAGATATATGATAAATATCTTATATCTATATTACATAGATAATAATTTAAATAAAAATATATAATATTTATAACATATTATAATATATGATATACTGTATTTTATATTTATTATTAATATATATATAATTATCTTATATTAATAATATCATATATTATAATATATTTTTATTATATATAATATATTATACATTGTATATATAATATATTATAATATTAATTTCGGGGGTATTTTGATCACTTTATTTTTCACGGATAATTTTTTTTTATATTTTTATTAGATGCACCTCAGTAAGATATACATATCCTCCAAATTTCAGTTCATTCCAATCTGTAGAAAAAATATAAAAATATAAAAAAATAAAATACTACCAGACAACCTTGACCGCGTAATGAAATTTGGATGGTGACGAGGGTAAGTGAAATTGCTATTCATTTTTTCGCTTATAGGTGTTGGGAAGATTTTTTTCTTATATATATATATATATATAATGGACAAAATAAAAAGTTCCATTTTCAAGTTCCATGGTTTACAATAGAATTTTACTCAAGCCTAAAAGGTGGGAACTTCAACAGTAAAGGAGAGTTTTCAAATTATCTTCCACTTTTTATCAAACACATAACATGAACAACAATAGGTAACGCGCCTTCTTTCTCTTATAACTTCCTGTCATCAAACACGCCTTATAAGAGGTTGTTTTGATGCCTAAATATCTTCAAATTGATCATCTCGACATCAAGATGTATGAACATGAGAAAAAAATAGATTTCAAGTTTTGGAAATATTGTATTTTGTAACGCATTTTTAGATCGTCAATTTTCAAGATTTTAAAGTTTTCATAGATCTGTCGATCTACATTATTTTAAAAGCTTTGAACTTTATAACTATGAAAACATATTTTAAGGCTATTACAACGACTTCCAATAATAAAACCACATTTCTCGACACTACTTGAAAGCGGGCTTTAATTTAATTGTTTAGAGCATAGGCTCTATGCAAACCGCACCCTTTAATTTTTTGGTCAAAGCTCCATGTTTAAAGAGCATTGATCTAATGTGACGGTCGTACCATAGTATAATGCAATGACACTTATGGAAAACCATGTTTGTGGTATTTGTATGATTCCAAATTTTGCACACACACTCTCTTCATCTCAATAATCAATTCCAAAAAAAAAAAATATCAATTTGAACCCTAGATATGGTCAAAATGAATTTCCTCCTATGAATCTAGACTATTCATTTTGTGAATTTCAAGATCTCAGCCTTTATAAACTCAAAATCATTTTTTTGTTTTTTAACGTTGTTCATCTAATGATAATAAAATTATAAAAAAAATTTGGAAATGAAAAAATCCTTATAAGGCCCAGATCTATGTATCTCATAAAAATGAACGACATATGTTAATTGGGCTAAAAAAATACTTTTTAGGTCGTGTTTTTTAAATTTTATTTTATATAATTGTTCATTAGAATAAAAAAAAATATATATTTCAAATTTTGGATCAAACAAATGGTCATAAGATGGTTTGTTAAGGTTGTTACATCATATTACTATACAACAGTTGCATGAAATCATTGCTCATGTTTCAAATATAGGATTATGTACAATGAGACCATTTACTTTTTATACAGAGATGTCACAATCACTGATAACTATGTGATGTTAAATCTAATAAGCTTGGGTGTGTCACGAAATTCAAGAAAATTTATTTTAGAGTTTGAGTTTAGTCAATGGAATAAATGTAGCCATCCAATAGTCAAGATTAATTGTAACTATTTTGTACCGAAAATAAATGATTTCATTGTATACTTTTCCTTATATTATAGAAGTAAGACACGCCACCAAATTTTGCCTCGATATATAATATAACATTTCGAAGCAAGCTCTGTAATGGTTTAAAAATCTTTTTTTTTTCGTGGTATCTAAATATTTTGAAGTCGAGATGATTAAATTAAAAAAAAAATCAAGGTCATAACACCACTTTTCGGATGATTTTTTAGGTGCACCTTTCAAGGTGGGCACCTTATATATACATTTTCCTTTGTGAGATTAAGAGGCTGGGTGGCTGCCTAGATATTTATTAGGTTTTATATGAGAGAATAATATGGACAGCATGCTTTCTCTGTAGCATGAAATCTTTTGGTTTTATTAAGTGGTTTCAAAACCCAACCTTGGGTATTGGAGTGGTCCCTGTTGTATCGATCTGGATCCGTGATGTGACTTTGACAAATATAAAAGAAAATATTCAAATAAGGCGCAAGTTTATGAAAAAAATAGTACGGTCGTGTCTCAAATGTTGTTGAAAGTTTTGGATTCGAAAACCTTCAAATGATCTTCATTGTAAAAAAAATAGTTACGATTTTTAGCCTAAAAAAGTGTACATTGTAAGAGGTTATCTGGATCATTTATTTTCAAGTATTTATAGATCTAGATGATCTATATCATTTATTTAGCTATAAATTTCATGATCAATAGTGAAAATAGATTTTAGAGCCATCATAAATTTTTTTTATGCCCCTTTTCTCTCAATGAAATTTTGAAGTGAGGCTTTACTTCGTCTTTTTTTCATAAACCCTAGGCCGTATAGAAACGGATTCGAATATAAAGTGTTACATAAAGTAAAAATTACTTGGTTTTTTTAAATTACCTGGTTTTTTTGCCCGAGTTGCCAATTCTACTCCAAAATTGTCTGGGTGAATGATAAAACTGGGGATTTTTTATGCCCCTTTTCTCTAAATGAAGTAGAAGAGTTAACCAATGCGATATCACTTTGTACTTCGGTTACTTTTATTTTCAGAAAACATACCCATTGTCTGCATAAAGTCGTATTCTAAAATTTTATCATTAGGGATGAAAATAGATTTTTAAACCATTTAGACACTGAAACCACAACTTTCGGTAAGACTTGTCATTATTTTAATTTGAAAAGTTTATCAAACAACCTATAGAAAAGAAACTATTTTAATCGTTTTGCAACTATCCAATGTCGTGATCATGTGTTTTTTATGGGTATTTTGAAGTTAAATGCAAATAAATATGTACATATTAACAAATGGCTATCATTTGCACAAGGTTGCAGTCTTAAACAATCAAAGTATGGCGTATCTCTAAATTTTATAATAAGATATAATTTTATTGTCAAAAAGTCTTAGGATGGTTGAGAATCTATTTTCATTTTTAATTATAAACTTTTAAAACTTCAAAATAGTTCAAATCAAGTAGATCTATAAGCACATAAAAATATTGAAAATTAATGATCCAGATATTGTGTTGCAAGAAGCACTATTTTTTGGACTCAAAAACCTTTTTTTTTTTTTTACTCATACATCTGGATGCCAAAATGATCAATTAAAGGGTTTCCAATATCAAAACAAAGTTTTCTAATGGATTTTTTAGGTGCACCTTAATTCTATATTTTAAGATTGCAACATTTTATTATTATTTTTAAATAATTTATACCTCATGATTATTTTGATAATAAAAAGTTACATAAGGTAGCAACTTGATGTTATAAGTAAAGTTGCAATAATCTATATCGTCCATTTTATTTGAACAATATGAATTTAACTTTTTCTTAAATGAAGTATTATGTGTTGATACTATTACAATACATTTGAGATCTACACTATCCAATTAAAGTAGATGGTTTAGAACGTAGAAACATTACATGGATAAAGTCTCAACCTTACATAAATTGCAACTTTTTGACTAATATTCTATTAAAATCTAGATAAGTTTATGAAAATGTCTATGAGAGATAAACCATTTAATATTTTATCCATTTGATTTAATTTAAAAATACTCGTAAAAACTAAAAAGACAACAACATGAATAGTGGAAATGTATATAATAATACCATTTACTTTTGATACAAATAGGTCACAATCATAATTGATTGTTAGATTTGAAATCGGGTCGTTGAGGATGTGTCATTGTTTAGTCTGAAATAAAAATTCTCGAATATTAACACACTTACATTTATTAGATTTCATATCTAATGGTGAAAAATGATTGTGACCTCCATGTACAAATAAATAAAATGGTCTCATAGAATATAATCCCATGTGCAAAATGTTAAATAGCGTGCATGTGAAGGGTAAATTGATCAAGACAAATTGTTTCACGCAGGTTGGACTGCATTTCTACTTATGCGGTCCAAAAAGTGTAAAGTATTCATTTTAAAGATGGGTGCAAGTAGTGTTTCATCTAAAAACAAATGGAAACTAACTGTCCAAATGTTTTTTTACTAGAATTATTATTTTTACTTTTTAAAATTTATTTATTTTATCATATTAATTATCTCCACGATAGAGATTATATTTCATTAAAAATTAAGTCTTAAAATCCATATCAACAATAGATTTAATAAAGGCCCGCATTTCTACATATGTAGGATTGGCCGCAGAGAAACCAAGTCCTTTTGATTAATGTAGTTAAAATTTAAAGATGTGATTTTTATAGGGCATTGGCTTTATGGAAATAAAGTAAAGCCTCACCTTGAGTTATCATCCATAAAGAACTTTGGATACTAGGAATCTCCATGATGATGCTAAAATCAATTTATAACATCGACTATGAAACTTGAAGTTAAAAAGATACATAAATCATGTATATCAGCTAATCATTTATTTTTAGGGCGAAATAGATAATCTAGATAATGTGTGTTACCATATACACTATTTTCAGGGTTTGAATTTTTTTTAAAAAAACTAACTATAATGATAAAGGCTGAGATGATTGATTTTAACATGATTATATATATATATATATATTTATTTATTTATTTATTGTGAGTTTTGAGGTGAAGGTTTGCTTTTATGTTGACATCAATGCACCACTATCAAAAAATTTGAAAAATGTAACCTCAAATAACTGGGAGTTTTTTTCAGGAAAAAGTTTGTCTAATGTTTCTATCTTATACTTCTGAGAAAAGGTGCATCTCAAAAATCTTACAGTAGAGAGTGTTAACACATGGGAGAACCCTCCAACTGATCATATAGACCTTGAGATAAATGGACATGAAGAAAAAAAAAGAATTCTCAGTTCAAAAAATAGTACATTTATTAAAAAGTCATTTGAACAGTTAGTTTTCAAAATTTCTAAATGCCTACTAATCTGCAACATTTTTTAAATTTTCATTTTTCTAACTGAATTCTAAAAGAAAATTTGAAGCCATCGTAAAATTTGCGACGCCGAAACGATATGTCTAAAAGTAAATTTTATAGGTCTGCCTGACCTCTACGGTACGGGTAGGCAACCTTATACAAACCTCATCTTTTTTTTCAAACATCCGCGCCGTGGGCTTTACGGACCCGTAACTGTCTACACAAGCAATTTATTTTAGCGCCATTAAAAAACTTTTTGGTCACCTTAAACCGCCCAAAGAGACACAAAAAGGAGGAAGAGGCGGCAAAACAATTAGAAACCGCAGAGAAAAAAACGAGCACGAAAATGCAGAAGCTTGTCGCTGAGATGAAGCTGTTCAATCTAAAGAATCTTCTGTCCAGTGAAGAAAAATAAATAGAAAGAATTTCACATAGTGATAGTGAAGAAGAAGAAATAGATCGTACAATTCAGATGATGATGAAGCTGTTCAATGAGAAGGATCTTCTGTGCATGTAAGTGAAATAGAAAAAATTTCAAATAGTGATAATGAAGAAGAAGAAATAGAAAATTTTTCACATGGTGATGAAGAAGAGAAGAAAGAAACAGAAAGTCGGAAGCCAAATACTAGTACTGGAGCGATGCAGTTTTCAGAAGGTTCGAAGGCCTTTCAAACGGCTTTCGAAGAAGAAAGTGACTGAAGATTTTCTGGTTTGTCTACTATACTCCATCAATTAGTTTAGGGTTATTACCGTTTTAGTGTTGAAGCTCTTAGTGATGGTTTTGGTTTTGATTTCAGAGGCCTATTTTTTCAGGTGATGAGAAGCTTACCGCGAAGAAACTTGCAGCAGAAGAAGATGAAAATGCTCAGAAGGCTTCAAGGCGAAGCTATTGGTATGATGTTCTCTCTGGATTTAACTTCCCATTGATAATCTTATTCAAGGTAGAATTGTTAATTTATTATTTTATTTAACTTTTGCTGGTTTTATTATTATTATTATTATTATTATTATTATTTATTTTTATGAGAACATTTTTTTGTCTTTGACTCCAAGTACCCTTAGAATTAAGGGTGTCTATCTGTTTTAGAGCGCCAGGGTAAGGTTAGAATTGTGGAAATCAGGGTTTTAGTACATAAATGTGTTTTTGTTGTTGAATGAATGGAAAGCTGGGCAAAGGCTTTGAATAACCAGTTGATAATTGTCAAAAATGGACCTGAGGTTTCAGTTTTTAGTATTTACCTGGAACAAGAGTTTAAAGTGATTTTAGTTTGGGCAGAAGTTTTTGACAAGACTGTAGTTTGAATATAAGAGCCAAAAAAGGCTTAATGTTTTAGTTCTTTTGTATGCTTGTTATATAAGATGAGTAAGGATCATATGAGACCCTCCCACACCCATGTGTAGGACCCTAAAGGATCACCATTAAATATGGCACAGATCTCTAGAAAAATAAAGTTCCACACCCATGTGATAACTTTTATAGAAATCTGTGCCATATTTAATAGTAATCCTTTGGGGTCTTACCCACATAGGTCTGAGAGGGTCTTACAGGATCATTACTCATATAAGATACGTACTTTTGTGTTGGAAATTTTATGGGGCCAAATGATGCTTATATTTAATGGAAAATGTGGTTTGCGGACCACCATGTGCCACTTGGGAAGAGCCTACAGCTCTACGTACATGGAGTCCGATTAAGGTTCTCTTGGAAATGACAGCTTCAACTATGTTTTGTTAGTTCAACTGTAGCAAAAACAAAAATATCTGTGTTTTTTGGGACAAAGTGTATTTACAATTGCTAGCTGCTTGTTACAACTTGATTGTTGCAACAGATAATGTTTGAGAAACGTATTTAGAAGTGGTGTGAAGGAGTATGCCTTGGCTTGTATGTAACTCGCATGGCTCCAAACCTGGTTATAGAGGACGATAAGCCTCAATCACATGCTTTTCTCTTAAAGGAGTATAAAGTGACTTTTTTCTTGTTGAAAATATACTGTCCGTGTTTTAGAGAGAAGTATCTTTATTGATGTTTTATTACGATCACCCATATTGTAATATGTTTGTTAAGTTCAAGCACTCCCTCCCAGACCTAGTTGTTTAGGCTTAAGGAAAAGGAGTCGGCAAATGGAAGTCTTGTATTTTAGGTAATCTAGTAGTTTGACATCCCTATATCTACTTCAATATGAGAAGTTACAGTTTTCCGAAGCATTGATTAGTGGTGATAGTTAGAAGCTCCATAATTTGTGTTTCGGATTCAGCAAGGGATATGCCCCAAAAAACTCAATTGGGACCTTAGCTTCACCCCCTTTTCTGGTTTCCACTCTGTGCTCGAAATGCATGGATTTTGGTGAGCCTGCGGATTCATTCATAATCTACAAATTCTTGCATTGATTTGTGTGGTTTAAGCTAGTGTTGCTGAAGCTAATGCTTGGAATTTCCTCTACAAAATCAAGCCCAAAAAATTGTGGAATCACCTATGTTTTTTTATATGTTTGATTCATGTACTTTATTAGCTATACATCTTTCTCTCTGGCTAGTATTTTGTTTTTCTCCTTCATTTTTCTGAACAATGTCTTCAGTACTCTTGACTTGGACTATACATTGGCATCAGAAACTCTAAGGTTGCATGCAGCTCTACTTTTTTTATATGGTTAAAAACTGAATAGGGGATTTTTTCATATTCTGGGAAATAATGAGATTCTCCCCCCTCCCCCCAAAAAAAAAGAAAAAAGGAAATAATATTATCCTATGTCTAGCCATCTAGGTGCTGTTTGGTCATTTATCACCAAGGGAATATCTTTTTAAAAAATAAACAATAAAAAATTAGGGTCTGGCCGTCATCCTCCCGGTGAGGTGTTTCTCTGATCGCCTTCAACTCGTGTGTTTCTCTGATCGCCTTCAACTCATGCAATTCTTTGTTCTTTCAATGCTAATTGCTAGGTAAGATCACTGTTTTTTTTTTGGGTGAATTCTAGGTAAGGTCATTGCTCAAATGAGATTCCTCATGAATCTAAGAGAAGTAGACTTGATAATGCATCCATGAAGTTCTTAAAGGAGAGACATCCTAAGTGTGAACATTGCAATCGTTTGGAGACTATGAGTTAAACACTAGTCAAGTGGCTCAATTTCTGCATTAAGGAGCAATTTCTTGCTGAAGTGTACGTGTGGATATTGACTATTTTAGCTTCCATGAAAGATGCAGCTTATTTTGACTGTTTCAGATGATTCCCTACTTATTTGAAAGTTGGATATGTCTCAGAATGTGTGAATGATACAATGTGAATCATGTGAGTGTCGATTAATAGAGATGCTATATGGGATTAAATTATTCATAGTGTCACATAGGAATATTCTCCAGCTATGCGGGAAGATTGCTAAAAAAAAAAAAGCGAAATTTACAGAAAAATCCTATTTTATTTTCAGAATGTAAAAAGAGTCCCATACGTTTCGTATTTTACATTAAAGTCCTACTTTTTGAGAGATTTTTTTTTGGGTGATTCAGCAGGAAAGGGGTCCCCTACACATGGTAGGAATGGCACTAAAGACACCGTGTTGTGGCACCCTGACGCCCTACTTTTTGAGAGCTTAAAGTGTGCTTTAATTTTGTCTCTTTTTTCTAGACATCTAATTAGGTTCAAATTTGGTATATGTCCATATTTATCACCATCACACACCCTTAAAAAATAATTAAAATAATAAATAACCAAAATACCCCTACAGTAGTAATGAGTATTTTTTTATTTTTATTTATTTTAAATTACTTTAAAATTATTTTTTATAGGTTTGTGATGGAATAAGATTTTAATGTAAATTTAACCAAAATTAAGATGATGGTGCTTCTTTATTAATTTTCTCAATAACTTTCCTCTATACATGAGAGTTCAGGTTAATGCTTTGGAATCTATTTATGTAGATATGCATAACATAATTTATTTCCTTTGCATGGAAGTGAACATTTCAGTAGCTTTTCTTCTAGCATGTAACATTAAAGAAACAAGTTGACAATGGACCTGGCAGATCCTTGCATAACGTTGAGACTCTTTGGGTAGCTGATTTCATGTCAGTATCTTCCTAGGTCACATATATGTCATGTACGTACATACTCAGGGAATTTGTGAAAGAATAGAACCCGTCAGAAAAGACCTTACTTCCATTTGAGATTACTCGAGTGAGTCAACTCAGTTTCGCAGATGATCGAGTTTAATAATCAAAAGTTCGAGTCTAGGCTGAGTTTTTAAATTTATAAATTAAACATTCTTACTTGGTATCAAATGTGGGTTTTGTGGAAATGTGCATATCCTCTTTCCCCTCTATAAATTTGGTCTCAAGTTCGAACGATGTTGCTAATATTGAATTGCTTTTGCCAAAATAAAAGAAATTTTCTGTGTTAATTCTTTGACTCGGGGAGTTGACTTGCTTTTAGCTTTGTCCAAGTTGGGGAGGGATTGAGGGAATCTTTTGGATTTGAAAATGTGAAGATTTATGTGTTGGAGAACTTACCTACTTTTATTGGAGAATTTGAAAGTTTAGGTTTCTTTGAGTAAGGTTCTGATTTTTGTCAGAATTTCTACTGATTATTGGGGAGTGCAAAGACTTATGTGTGCTGGGAATGGGAATTTGGTTCAAACTCTTTCTGGGAATTCATAAAGGCCTATAGGGAAATTATGAAAATTCACCTAAGACATGAACTGTTTAACATTTTACCTGTATCTTTTGATTTAATTTGAAAAGGCCCATCAAAAGATCATGAGTGGGAATGGTACAGAATGAGTAAAATTTTAAATGGTCAATAAGTTAAGTGTATTTTGACAAAATTCCTAATTTGTATATGACACGTTCAAACTATACGACAAACACACATGCACTCATAAACACACCCGCACAAACACCTAGACCCACAAAGAAACACACTCACAGATGCAACACACACACATGCACAAGGAGAATGATGATGAGTTTTTAAGTTTACAGTATTCCTAAGCAAGCTGCTTTGGAAATTTAAGACAGTTCTTAGATTGGGCTTAAGGCATGATTAAAAAATCTTATAATGTAGGATGGTAGCTTTTGTTATCTATAGTTTTGTTGAAATTCCATTTGGCCATGTTTTCATATAAAACATGGATTCAGTTGTAGCTAACTTGTTTCTCATAACAGAAATTAAATCAGGTGAAGGAGAGGGGCCATGTAAAGCCTGCAAATTTCTTGGATATGAAGGAGAAGTTACTCATAAGTTTGGTGACAAAAGGAGGTGAGTTTCCAATTTAAAAATATGGAAGTCTTTAATGTAAAGAAAGTGAAGCCTTAGTATCTGATTAGGAGCTTTGAACTAATGGTTGCACTTCTTGTGTGTAAAATTACATGTTTCAGTGGTGAAATTATTGAATGGGGTAAGTTAACTCCTAAGAATGGCCTTTTTCGTATAGCTTTTTAGTACATTCTTCACAGTGACGTGCGTTGGTTAAATATCTCACCTAATTAATTTCAGTTATTACAGTTGTATGATATGACATGTGCATGTTAATGAAGCACAACTTGTTCGGAAAGGTGTGAGTATTTCAAAATCAAAAGATGTATAGGGTATGTGCGAGCACTTTTTATTACCTCTCGATTTAAATTGTTACATATTTTTATTATTGCACATATTAGGTTCCAATTTACACAGCTTTAAATATTCTTCCGAAATTTTTGTTCTGGTACAATTTCATTTTGCCTTCTACTGTCCATGTACACTTTTAAGATATATCGCTGGTGAGAGCAGTGCTTTGCTAACTTCATAAATTAGAATGATAATTTTTTACGGAGTCAATACTTTCCAAACTTGGTGTTCGTTATGTTTTTTATCATTGACTGTCGTGGGCTAAAGGCCAATAGTTTCTTATTGAAAAACTCGTTAGAATGTGCTGAATATCATCTTTGAGCATTGGAAAGATATCTCCAATGATCTAGTAATGTGTAGGATATCATTTTTGAACAATATAAATTGTGCCAATGGTTTCTTTAACTGCATGCTCTTTCTATTCATGACACTGGATGAAAGTGATTTTTCAATGGTCTCCGGTCTCTGCATGCCATGGTTTCTATTCAAGAACCTTTTCAAGGAATTGATTTTAGTTTCAGAGGCTCAATGGGTTACAATTTTCTTTACAATAAGGTTCTGGCTGCTTCACTGTACATGGTTGGCGATTTTTTGGAATTTGCCTTCCATATAATAATCTGTCTCAATTGAAATGGTTAGCTTTAGGTTTTTTGTCCCATTGAAGCATTTTAATGTGACCTGATGAACAAAATTTTCATGTACACCAAAAGTTAAAGGAAAGAACATAGATTTTTAAAGCCGAATTGGAGCAAATTAAACATAACATCCAATGAAAAATGCTAAATTGGAAGAACTCAATCAAAAGATATTTGTCCTTTTTTTTTTTACTTTCGTTTATTTTTATTGTATTATTTTTTCTCTTTACAACTATTGTATTTCCATTGAACTCCCATTATAATATCTGAATAACTAGGTGTTACACTTTTCTTGTTTTGGTAATTAACTTCTATTGTTGGGTAAGTAAAGTGCGCAAGTGGCGCATTTCATTGAAGTTACAAAAAGGACATAGAGTAAATAAATTTGAACCATGGAGCATTTATCTATCTAGGTTCTGAATTTTTCGGAGTTATATAAGTCTCTATAATTGTAGCCCAAGAAGTCAACAAAGGCCTCATTATGACACTACCAGAATAGCCTTACCATAAAAAAGTGCGAAAGTAGTTTTTTTATCACTGGTTATTTTTGGTTAAAAGGAAAAATCACTGTAGTCTTCACTGGGATACAATTCTCTAGTGTTGCCTGTTCTAGCTGTATCATGTGCCTCTACCTTGGATTCTGAAATGAGATCTGTATCATGTGCCTCTACATTGGATTCTGAAATGAGATCTTCATTGTGCTAAGCATCTCTGTAATTTCCTTCAATACATTGACTTATTTCTGTGGAAGTGTATCTCCTCTGCTGACTCACATTAAAGGAATCCCTTTCATAATTTGGGGGCCAAGGAAATGTCTATGGTGATGTCTTTCACATTTAGCGACTAGAGGAAATGTCTAAGGTGATACCTTTCACATTTTGAAACTGATACACTTGTTAGGGTATTGCATTTGTTTTAAACAGTTTATTATTGCTCTATACATTAGTATGCATTAATTAGTGAATTGATGCTCTTCAGAACTAAAATTTCTAGTCTCTGATACTTACAGATGATTTGGCTGTTCCTATGTACCCAGTTCGTAACTTTGTTTTCCCCTGTTCATATGCATCTATTTGATTGGTTTCGATGTTTCAGTTATCCACAATTTGGGACTATTAATATTATCACTCGTTGGATCCTTACTTGGAGCTCATGTTCTTTGAGAGGTTACTCTCATACATGATCTTGGCACAGACAATTGAATTTGAGTTATTTTTAATGAACTGATTGAGTGTGCTTTCTATTGACATTGTTTGAGGGTTTTCAATCTTCATAAGTTTTGTGTCAAATATGACTGAATGCTGTTCTGGAGAACATATTTATTTGTTCTCTCTTTTTTCTTTCTCTTTTTCTTCAATAATAGGGTCTCATTAAAGGAAAGTATGTATGGTCCCCCTCTTCTTGAGTTTCACCCTCAGTTACTCATAGGGGCCAAAGCTTCTCGTTCGTAACTTTTCTGTACCTCTAATCAATGAGAAGGATTTCTTATCCAATAAATCCTTCCGTAGAGAGGCCAACACTTTGGCTGGTCGTTATTGTTGAAAAAAGAAAAGGACAGAGAAGAAGAAATCGCCTTTTGATTTGTTTTTAATGTTTTAGGTTTGGTTGTTTTTAGAGTTTTATGTAGAAGTCCTTAAGGATTTCATAGTGAAACTTATACAAGATTTGGGTTGTCCTCTATCTTGTGATTCTCCTAATTGTTTGTTTGGTACTCTTTTAAAGGTTATGTCCTGTTATGGATGTTTTCATATACCACATAATTAGTAAAGAAAAGCAAAGAGGTTTTCCTTGTGCTGCAAGTAAACTTTGCTAACCCAATTTAATCCTATGATAATTTGATCCAGGGTGGGCTCCTGGTAATTTGATCCAGTTTGGGCTCCTACCTGATAATTACATACTGACTAGTTCAAAATTGAAGAGAATTAAAGGGTTGGAATAAGATGCCTCTAAACACTGATTCCTGTTGATTCATTATATGTAGAATTTACAAATTGTGTGTAGTTTAGTCTTCTTTCTTTCATCCTTGCTCTTCAGGATGCAGCTGCCACAGCTGTTTCAGCTGAAACACTCGTTGACAGTTCATCTGAAGATGAGGAATGATCTCATTATGTTGATGAATGAAAAATCAGGTAATAATAAAAGAAACTATGAAAATTTTGAAAGTTTCAATATATGGTACTGAAAATGCCTTTAGAGTCTGAAACTAGTTTCAATAATGCCGGTTTATTAACCAACAATAGAACAAAAAGACATTGGAGTGCTTTTGTGTGTAAACAACAATGCTGTATCATGTATAAACAAGCCACCAAAAGCCTAGGTAAATGGAAATGGCTATCTGGAATATACTTTTGTAACTCTAATCATGGTTTCATATATTATTACCCAACTCTCTAAGGAAATAATGATCTTTTAGAGAACTACCGCTACATATTGGTCAAGTTATGGATGATAAACTGACCGTAACATATATAAATAGATTGTATACTATGAGAGCATTTATTTTTAATACAAGAAGGTCACAAAATTTCTTAGCCATTGGATGTGAAATCTAACACATTAAAATGTATAACAGCTTTTGAGAAAATTTGTTTTGAAATTTGTGCTCAATTAGTGATACCCATCCGATTTCACATCCAACGGTTGACAATGATTGTGGCCTTCTTGTATAAAAAATAAATCGTCTCATCATATACATTTCCATATGTAAAACTCCATAATATAAATTAATCACATTCTACTTTTGTAGGTAGGCCAATAAAATATTTAATTTATTAACCAATCATTTTATATTGAGAAACCTCATAAAAATACTATAATAATTGAAGATGAAAAAAGTATAATCGACTTACATTCAATCTCCTCCAATGTTTTGGGATTAAATTAACTCCGATTGTAAATTGCAGTCATCTAAACTTTGAAGTATGAAATGAGCAAGTTCAAATAAAGAATGAGGACATTTAACATGCCTATTCACAGTGGAAGTATGCTGAAAAAGAGTATTCGAGAGGCATAATCAAAGTAGGTAAAAAGCATGACACTTATAGTGTATATAATATTTTAATAATTTTCACTCATGATTCTTATAATTTTGAATTCAGCCACGTACTCTAGGAGACTAAACTTTTGATGAGATGTGTATGAGATAGGGTGAGTAATTTTATATGTTTTCTATATAGGTAACTACATTACTTAGAAGTCATAAGTATCATCATTGTGGAAGTATTCTATAACCTCATGGTAATAGTATAGTCATGATTATCATCACTCTATAAAAATGAAGATGGTATATGTCAAAGCAAATCCTCCCACACTTACAAAAGTGCTTTATCTATCGTATGACATTTGTAAGCTATGATAAATTTTTATTTTTTTTAATGTTTAACCACGAGATCTATTAATCTCAGTAAGAAGTTGCCATAAGTCAATACTTTGGCATTTCTTAAAAGTATGGGCAATGCTTAAAAAATGACTCCCCTGGTCTGCAATTTGGACCATTAATTGCATCATTGACCCCAATTCACCTTTTACGAGACTTCTATTAATCCACATATTTTTACGAGACTCTCCAGTGAATCCACTATCTTTGCACCCCAGCGCATGCTATTAATCCGCACCTTTGTATGTGTGCTTGAAACACAGATGTGCGTCGCCATGTTTTTGGTTTGGACCAAACAGCGATTACGACAAAGTTCAACTTCTTACAGCAGTTAAAGCCTCTGTAAGCCTACTTCTGAAAGTCCTGGCCTTTTGACCTGACCGAGATTGGATGAGCCCGAGCCTGCCCTATAGGGACTTCAGCCGAGCTAGGGCCAGGGCTGGCCTGCCCCGGTGCTGGGCCTGCTTTTTGGAATTCAATTATACTTCGGACGTCCAGTGACTTAAGTTTCTGATGAACTTAGACTTTGTCATGATTGTTTTGACCTTAAACAAGTTTCTCATGAACTTAGACTTTGTCATGATTGTTTTGACCTTAAACAATTTTAGATCTTTGAGGTGCATTGAATACCTTGTTTGTTTATTTTGATCCTGTTCATGCATTTTCAATTTGAGAGTGCACTTAAACTGCAGTTCTGCAAATCGGACAGCGGTTTTATAGTTTCCAAGCTTAGTGGAAAGAGTTTGTAAGATTTTCGAGGACCAAAAAACCGACGACTGTGTTAAGATGGTGTCTGTTAGGGACAAAAAGCAGAAGCAGCTTTGATTAGGGTCTATTCTCTCTCTCTACAGTCTACAGAGGGTAACACACTCAAATTTGATGTAAATCAATAAATAATGCTCTCCCTAGTTTACACTTTACTGTGTAAAACAAACCAGACAAATATACACAAATAATACTCTACGAAACTAAAGATTTATTCACAGATGGCAATGACTTCTCTCTATTCAATGGAAATTAGAGAAAAGTGATCAGGGCCTGAAATTGCAAAATCGTGGCATTAGGCATCTCTTGGGCAAGGTCTCTCTCCAAAATTATGCAGTTCCTCCTCTCTCTTTCTCTTGGACAAAGAAGAGATGGCTTTAGCTGATACCACCTTTCTCACAAGCAACTTCCAGCGCTCCTCATCCTTCTTGGATTGAAATTGTATTTTTAGCTTGAAGTGCCTGATCAAAAAGAATATTGATTTTAAGAGTCAAAATAAGTAGCCATAAATTTCAACAAATCACATATAGTGATTGCTAATGATTTTCATCATATAAGTAATTGTTTGTCAGAAGTTATTTATTTCAATATATGAATAATTTGCTTCTATGTTTTACTTCTGTATGGTGTCTAACTTGAATCATGAATGGCCTGTTGAAATTATTGTAATATGTTTTTCTTGTATCAATGTTTCCCGTCTTTCAATTCAAACTTCAAAGATCAAAGATATGAGAGAGAGAGAGAGAGAGAGAGAGAGAGAGAGAGAGAGAGAGAGAGAGAGAGAGAGAGAGAGAAGAGAGTACGTACGTACGTACGTACGTACGTACGTACGTACGTACGTACGTACGTACGACGTACGACGTACGACGTACGAGTACGACGTACGACGTA